ACCTCGAGGGATAAGCGGTGTTGGAGAGGGGAGCCTGAGGTTTCCCTCCTTTCGGAGTGCAGGAGCTCCCGGGCCCGTGGGGGCATTGCCGCTTCACATTTCACCAGCCAGGTATGTAGGTGGGTGGGAGTGGTGAAGGGAGGCGTGAGGTGCCGGACAGTATCAGCCAGGGGCCCTCCTGACGCTGCTGGGAGGGCAGCCAAGAGGCCCTGGGCTTGGGTGATGCTGGTGAGGTAGGCTGGGTGTCCCTCAATTGCTGGGTCGATGAGACCCAGCCCTCCGAGAGAGGGAGGGAGGGACGCTTGAGCCCAAGTGCGCGCTCGCTCCACCTCGCCTCGTGGCGGTTGGAGGTTGCAGGCGCGCAGAAGGGTATGGAATAGCTTCCTACCCCAGTCGGACCAGACGTCCAGGGGTAGGAAGTCAAGGGGGGTGGTGCGGGTTAAGTATGAGATACGCCGAGATACGCAGCGTGTGAGGAGGAGGGATGCCGACTGAGGGTCCATTGTGGCCAGTATGGCAAGGGGCTCGGCCAGCAGGGCTAGCTGGGTGCGGAGGAAGGTGGCTGTGCCCTCAGCCGTGCCTATGAAGCTGCCAAGCACGCGGACCCCTTCTGTAGTGAAAGGAATGTCTGGGGGGAGGCGCTCAGGTGCAGGTGTTAGACTATTCTCCCTTCATTCTATTAGCCTACATCGTTTCATTGTCTTAGGAACTTATAAGCACCCCACTAGGGTGTATACACCCAAGTTGGGGGTTGGGTTCCCAACCTTGTTGGGTTCCCAAATTGGTTGGGCTCCCAATTATTGGAACCCCCAATAATCCCAACCAAGATTATTGGACCCACCAATAATTTTGGCTAGGATTATTGGACCCCCAATAAGTTGGCCAACTCAACTTATTGGGGTCACCAATAATCGTGGTCACCTCCCAACCAAAACCACCCCCTCCCTCCTACTCCTCACCTATGTATACCCACTCCTTTCCTAATACAATCATCACTTCAGATTCTCACATGGTTTCAGAGCTTATGGCTCACGCCTCTCCGTCGTTCGATCCCTAGCCACCTCGCGCCCAACGCGCCCCTCCCCGCGCCCATAAGCGCCCCTCCCCGTGCCCATAAGGGCCCCTCCCCGCGCCCACAAGCGCCCCTCCCCGCGCCCTTAAGCGCCTCTCCTCGCGCCCTTAAGCGCTGCATTTTCGCGCGGCGCTCCTGCCGCATTTCGACGCGGTGCTCGGCCGCATTTCAACGCGGCGCTCGGCCGCATTTCGGCACAGCGCTCCGGCTGCATTTCGACGTGGCGCTCGGCCGCATTTCGACGCGGCGCTCGGCCGCATTTCGGCGCGGCGCTCCTGCCGCATTTCGACGCGGCGCTCGGCCGCATTTCGGCCTGGCGCTCCTGCCGCATTTCGGCGCGGCGCTCGGCCGCATTTCGGCGCGGCGCCCGGCTGCATTTCGGCGCGGCGCTCGCTCGTCTGCATTTCGGCGTCCGGTCCTCACCATCTGCGCCGGCCGTCGCCTTTCGCATCGGCGCCCGAAGAAGGCTTCGCGTCGCGCAGCTACGGCGACTTAAGAGCTGCGACTTAAGAGCTGCGACTTAAGAGCTGCGGCGACTTAAGAGCTGCGCTCCGCGCACCCGTCTTCTTCCTCTCCCCCCCCTTCCTCCCTCCCCTCCTCCCCTCCCTCTCTCCCCCCCCCCCCCCCCCCTCCCCTCTCCTCCTCTCCTCCTTCCCCACGAACAGCAGCAGCCGCATCCTTCCTCAATCAAACGCAGCAGCCGCATCAGCAACCGCAACCGCACCCTCCACCGGCCTTCACCTCCTCCCCACTCCCTTCATCAGCCGCAGCAGCCACATCTCCCCCCTCCACCTCCCCCTACTCCCCTTCCTCCCCCCACCAGCTGCAGCAGCCGCCTCATCTCCAGCAGCCGCACCATCAGCAGCAGCAGCCGTATTTCCCCCCCCCTCCCCTCCCTCCTCCTTCTCCCCTCTCCACTCATCCCCAGCAGCAACAGCAGCAGCATCCGCAATCGCACCATGACCACCGAAACACTCGCCGTCGACATCTCCACCATCGACGTCCTCGAGCTCATCGACGACGCCGTCCCTGTCAACTGGGCTACCTTTGCCTAGAGCCTTACCAATGTCCTCGGATCCGCTATCATCAACGACTACTGCCTCCTTGACATTCTCCTTGGCAATGACGCAGGGCAGCCCCCCGAATGTCCCGCTGATGTCTCCCCTGCACCTCCCGCCCCACCCCCGGCCCCCTCGGGACCGGCCCCCACCAAGCCCTCTCCACTGGTCTACACCGACGACCCTGATCGCTGGGCTCGCGTGCAACACCAATATGACAAGGACTTTGCGGAGTACACTCTCCTCCATCACGCGTATGACGCAGAGCAAGCTGCGCACGACGCCGCCAACACACTCCTCCAACAGCACAAGGACGCCACGGCTAAGTATGCTGACGACTTTCGTGAGTACCGTCGTCGCCACTCTGCCTGGAACGTTGCCAACCGCAAATGTCTCGCTATCCTGTCTGCATGCGTTCCTTCCTCCCTCAAACGCGAAATTACCCCCTCCTCCGCTCCCGAGTTCTGGAAAGAGCTATGTGCCACCTATGACCTCCAGGACACCAACTCTCTCCTAGCGCTCCACCGCGCCTTCCTCGACATCAACCTTGACTCCTGCCCCAACGCCCTCTCCTTCACGCGCCGCCTCCTCACCACTGCCAAACGCCTTGCCGATCGTCGCTCTCCCCTTCCCGACTCCCTCATCGTTTGCCGCCTCCTCGACGGCCTCACACCCATGTATGAGGCCCGTCGCGTGGCGTTCAATGAGGTCCACGCCAGCTTCCCACCCGACTCCGCCTATGTAGCCGCATGGATTCTGAAAACTGAAGCGGAGCTTCTCTGCCAGTCTCCTCCAACGGCTCATGCTGCCCAAGCAAAAGGAGGACGTGGTGCTGGCCGTGGCGGTACTTCGGCGGGACGATCGGGTGGTGGACGTGGCGGGGGGCGCAGTGGAGGACGCGGGGGTAGCAGTGGTTCCAACAGCACCGGCGGCTTCTCCCCGTGTCAGTATCTCATCCGCACCGGCCCCAACAAGGGTAAGCGCTGCCTCCAAACCACCCATGCCACCACCACATGTTTCAAGGCCCTCACTGATGAGTGGCTTGATCGAGGCAACACGGGCACGCCCCCTCGCTGGTCCGCTATCACTCCACCTCCCACTCCCTTTGATGTTCGTACCCTCCCCGCCTATCAGCCCTCCTCTACCTCTCTCCACCACATCCTCGCACAGCACCTCCCTCCACAGATCCTTCAGCAGGTCACGCCCCTCCTTCCGTCCCCACAGCCGCAGCAGACTCAGCAGCCGCAGCAGAACCAGCAGCTGCAGCAATCCCAGCAGCAGCCGCAGCAGCTCCTCCAGCAGCTGCAACAGTCTCAGCAGCACCAGCAGTCTCAGCAGCAGCCCTCCCCTCCCTCCGCCTGGAGCTCTGGCCTGTCTGCTCCTGCTCCTCCTACGTAGGCCCCCACCGGACCTCCTGGCTTTACCCCATTTCCCTCACCTGGCTTCATCAACCATGTTAGCCATGCCTCTCCTACTATTCCTCCAATGTATCCCGAGTCTATTAATGAAACCTCCTTCCAGTACTCCGTGTCTCACCCCACCCCTCCTTCCATTGAGTTTGTCATTGACAGCGGCGCCAGTGTCACAGTCCTTCGTGATGCTGGTGCCCTCACCCCCCTCCCTAACCCCTCCACCATCATTGGAGCTGATTCTACTTTCTCGGTCACCTCCCGCCATACCTCCACTCTTCCCTGCCCCCTCTTCCCCTCAGGTTCAGTAACTGGCTTCCATGTCCCCTCCCTTCGCACTAACCTCATCTCCCAAGATGCACTTCAACGGGCCGGGGTCACAACAATCTACCCCGGCCACGCCACCCACTGCGACTTGTTTCACTCATCCACGGGCCATTTCATCGTCCGTGTTCCCATGTGTCCTCTCACTCGCATGTACACCCTTCACACTCCCCGTCCGTCAGCCTGTCACACTGCCTCCACCATCCCTCCCCTCCCCCCTCCCCTCTTTCCTCCGCAACCTCCCTCCACCTCCCCTCCCGCCCCTCCTGCTCCCCCCCCATCTCAGTGCCACTGTCGTGATCTTACACATCCTGCCATCCTCCTCCACCACCGCCTAGGTCACCCCAACTTTGCCACCCTCCACAAGGCCGTCGCCTCTGGGCTCCTCAATGGCCTTCCCCTCACTCTCCCCCCACTCCCTCCCTCCCTCGCCCCACCTTGCACCATCTGTGTCCAGAGCAAGCTCAAGCAACTTCCTCATAAAAGTCACCCTTCTTGCGCCCCAGAGCTCCTGGATCTTGTCCACATGGATCTCTGGGGCCCCAACCCCTCCCCCACCCGTCAAGGGCACCGCTACCTCCTCGTCCTAGTCGATGACCGCTCACGATACACCTCGGTCTCCCTCCTTCGCACGAAGGCCAAAGCATCGGCCTTTATCATCGCCTGGGCCGAGCAGGCGCGCACCCACTTCGGTCGTCCCGTTCGCCGCTTCCATTCCGATGGCGGCGGTGAATTCCTCAATCACCATTTCTCTTCCTATTTCTCCACCCATGGTATTCACCACACTTACACCCTCCCTCACTCCCCTCAGCAGAATGGCGTGGCAGAAGCTCGTGTTCGAGAAGTTACAAAGACCGCCAGGTGTCTTCTCGTTCCCGCCTCCTGCCCGCCTTCTCTCTGGGGTTATGCTCTTCTCCACGCCGTCCTCCTCACTAACCTATATCCCCACCCTCTCCTCCCCTCCACCACCCCCACCGAGCTGTGGACGTCAACTAAACCCGACGTCTCCCCCCTGCGCGTCTGGGGTTCCAGGGCGTATGTTCTCATACACCCTGCCGACCGCTCACGCACAGCAGGGAAGCTCGCCTCCAAGAGTCTACCCTGTGTATTCCTTGGTCACAACACCTCCTCCCCTGACTACCTCTTCCTTCATCCCCCCTCAGGTCGCCTCATTCGTAGTCGGGACGTCATCTTTGACGAATCCTCCCCGTACTACACCTCTCCTGCCTCACCTGACCCACTCACCATTCCTCCTCGCCCCTTCATCCCCTCTGACACTGTCACCCCCCCCCTCCTCCCCCCTCTCCCTCTTATTCCCCCACCCCCAGCACCTCCTCCTCCCGAATCTGCCCCCCCCCCCCCCCCCCCCCCCCCCCCCCCCCCCCCCCCCCCCCCCCCCCCCCCCCCCCCCCCCCCCCCCCCCCCCCCCCCCCCCCCCCCCCCCCCCCCCCCCCCCCTCCTCCTCCGATCTGCTCCCCTCCCCTCCCTCCCCTCAGGCAAAGGCACCCGCTCCAGCACCCTCTGCTTCCACCTCCGCACCCGCCGCAGCAGCTCGACACTATAAGGATCGACACTAAGCCAATGAGGCATGAACATTAAACTGTAGTGCACATGCGCTTATTTGTTTCAAGCATGACAAGACATGTAGAGTCGTAATTCGGCGGAAAACTTTTCCGGTAAATAAATTTGTTGAAAAAAATCAAAAGACAACCGACAGACTTCTAATAGATTTGTTGTATTGAATTTAATACAAAATTAAATGCGGTTATGAGAGTACATTGACGTGCTTTTAAACATATTCATTTCAAAAAAAAAACCCTTGTAGCTATCTATATATGTTATTGTTTTCGGGCGACTCGGGAATGACAACAAGTTTATGGCTTGACTTTTTTTTGGGGCCGTAAATGCGGTAGAGACAAAGCCACCATTTTTAGTCATCGCGGGATGCGCTACCCTCCGTGACGAAAGTATGTGCTTCGAAACACAAGCGTGTTTTCTTGTTTCTCGACTAACGAATTTCCAATGAATCTTAATTGGGGCATTTTGCGTTTTTTCGCTCGAACTACGCCTGGAGCTCGGGAAAAATATTGTGCCAGCCACAATGATGACGAAATCGGGCTGGCGCGGGCGGGAAAATGTTCCGAGACAGGCGGGGGTTACTTCTACTATCCATTCGTAAAACTTTTTTTCTACAGTTTCTGACTAACGGTGGAATCTGATTGATGAGTCATGTTGCAAACTCGCTCATTCTGATTGTTTATATCGTGCCACTGATCGTACATGTTATCGAGGCCCCTAATACTGAGCGCCGATATACTTTCCCCTTAATCTTTGATCCTCATGCTGAGAGGTTTCTGGCCCTTGTGTTTGTGTGATTCATATGTAGAGGATAGCCTTATGAGAGTATGACGAGAGTCTCACAGGACCCTCACGGCCTTCACAGGACCCTCACAGGACCTTAACGGGACCCTTACGGGACCTTCACGTGAGATTCATAGAAGCCTTACGGAAGGCTTATTAGGGCTTCATGGGGAGATTATGAGAACTACTGGGAAACTCATGGGTGCGTTAAGGGGGATGTATAGTACATGAAATATGGATGGATGTGAAAGGTATAAGGTAAACAATAAGGTATGCAAGGTATATGAAGGCGTGTGTATGAAAGGTATATGATGGCATGTGAATGAAATGTTAAAGGTGTATGAGAAGTTTATCCATAAAAGGTTAGGTATAAGGAGTGAGGGAATGCACTGGGTGTACTCACTAAGGTGAATGGCGTGTGGATTCTGGTTAAATGACATGATGCCAGTTGGATGTTGCGCCTGGCACTATCTGCAGCCACATTTCATAGGTGAAAGACATTGCTATTCGCAGGTGAATGTTGCAGGTGACTAACCACCAAATGTGCAGGTACATTTTGCAGGTGAAATACATGGGAACGTCACAGGTGAATTTTGCAAGTATGGACCAATGTGTGTGCGAGTATGGACCTGTGGAACCAACGTTCTCGTGCGGGAATAGTGGACGTGGTGTAATGTGGTGCAGAGGTTGTAGTGAGTAGCTTGCATGGATTATATTATATATGCATGTGTGTCTCTCTTGTGTGGGTAATCTTAATTAAGTGGATAATCCGCTGGTGCTCTTTCAACCCTTTTCCAGCGCCATCACGCCATTGGAACTCTGCTGGAAGACTACTTAAACGCTGCGCAAGCGATTGGTTACCAAGACCGTGTCTTTCTTACCTGCTCCTTTCTACATACTCGGACCCTTGGATAGGGCTGGTTCTTGTACAAGGCATCCAAGAACCCTCAAAGATGACCCCGAGAAGGAGTAGCTAGAGTTGAGAGCGACTTGTGTAGCCAATTTTTACGGCTTTCACCATATTCCAGCGACTGCTGGAGAGGGAGGTGACCTCCTTGAAGCTGAGTAAAGGAGAGCCAGTACAACTCGCCCTTGATCAGCTGAGGGAGCTGTGCACAAAGCTGGCCATTGCTAGCATTGCCTACCCTGAGCAAACAAAGTGCCTCAAAATTCTCTCCCTGCTCCCAGATCATGAATTCAGTTTACCAGTGGCCTCAGCCTTCCCCAAAACCAAAACGTGTGGACCCTCGAATGGGTATGAACAAAGATCCTAGAA